AAAGAAACACTTCACGTTTCTGATAGCAATTGGATTTGCATGTATTTTTCCTGACAATGCACATTAAGTCTAGTAACCGTGCATAGAAGTTATCCAATGGTCTAAAATTTGAAATGGTTTACATAGCAGAGCATTAGGAGAAACTCACAACGTTTTTCCAGAGGCCAACGTTGTTACGCCATTTTACAGATAGTGAATCTAGGGCAGGGGAAGATAAAGAGCTTTGCTCAAGGTCAGCCAGTACGCCAGTAGCGGAGCTGAGAGCAAAGTGAGGTTTTATGAGTCCCTGCTCATTTTTTTCTGCCCCTTGCCAGCATTGCCGCTCCATTTTCCATTACTTTTCTTTTCCATTACTCTATTTCTTAAGCTTGCAGACTGTAGTTTTGGCTTCATTCTGCAAACAGCATCGATGATCTGTCAATCTGCATCTGCAGACAGTAATTTTGGAGGAGAGAAGTGGGTGGACCGAGGAGCACTAATAAAGAAGAGAAACCCAAACTACTCTCTCCCCTCCTGCCATCCTACCCCCAAAATAAACACACCGCCCCCAGGAATCTCATACTTCAACATTTGTGGTGCTAAAGGGACAATTCATTCCTGTTTTCCAGGACAAGATATGCACTGTTTGATATGTCTGCCCATTCTATATCAGAGATCTGTATGTAGACCTCTATTTATAAAGGTAAAGCTTGGCTGACCCTTGTTTTCTTTTGTATTCAGACAGTAAAAGTGGGCAAGCAGAGACCACTTATAAATAAAATACGAAAAATATTCAGATAATCCATAAAATAAAGAAGAATAGATGTGCAGGTAAAAAAGCCACTATGTAAATAGCTAATGTTGATAGGGGAGCTGTGAATATGGTAATTAGAACTCTAAATAGCATAAAAATATGCCTATTTGAGAGAGTGAAATAGAAACCTGCTCTTCTTTTAACCTTTAGGGAGAAACTATAGATGCAGTGGGGCAGGGCGTTGTGTGATGGTGGCTGTCTCACCAGTGGCAGTGCCACCTCCTTTCTGTAGTTCCCCAAATGGGATGATCGAAGTACTGTCTGCATTACTCCAGGTTCATTTCCCACACACTCATTGATTTCTGATGTCTGCATTAAAACAAATCTGGACGGTCTTAGAGCGATTCTTAAGATGGCTGTAGAAAATACTGTCAGAGGCTGAGGGATTTCAATATGTAGATATTGTGGCTTTAGTGATATAGTTATGCTGGATTTATGCATTGCACAGTTACAAAGCCCCAGAGCAGGAGGGAGGTTTGTGTTTTATTACTGTTTTGAAGTTTTTCCTATAGATTTGGTCTTTTTGCATATCATCTCTGTGTCACTGTAAGAAGAGTCCTGCCACAGCCAAGTGGTGAAATCAATGCCTTCTCCAGCTGCAGAGAAGCGGCATCTTCGGAGGCTTTTTTTAGGCTTGCATCTTAAGAGGCTTTTTTTAGGTTTCTCGTTAGAGGAAAAAATGTTTAAAAAGCATGAAAGCAAGAACTTGTTTTTATTCCCTGGTGTCTTCATACCAGGGTTCCTGGAAGTTGAAACTAAGTCTCTCTTAAGCAGGGATTTCTTCTAAAGATGCAGTGCGAAAGTTTCTCACATACTTAAAATGAGACCTTAATGGCTTTATAATGTTAAGAGGAATTTTCAAGATTAGACAGCTGTTGGTTACACGAAGGATATAGGAATTACCACGTCCTTGTTACTTAATAGACGTTTTGAGGTTGTTTTGCTGGTTCTCGGCCTCTGATGAGTGGAGCTGGGAGGTAGAGCAGGGTGATGACCTGAGTCGGAGGGGACGTAAACTGAGCAGGGCTGGAAAAAGGAGAGGAGAAATTATTCCTGACTCATCTGTTGTATTTTCAGCCTTCTGCAGGGAAGAGAATACCGTGTCTGCTTTAACCTGTTGACTGAAATATTCTTTTCATCTGTCTGCAGGAAATCAGGCAGACTCTTTTCCATAACTACCTGACTTACATTTCTTGATATTTCCAGTTCAGACAGGACTACTGTTAATGATGTTTTCGAGCTCAGCACTCTTTGCCCTTGTCCTGAATTGCTCTTCACCTTTTTTTTTTGTTGTTGTTTGGGGTTTTTTTGTGTGCATGTGTCTGAGCATCTATCTGCCTGCACCGTGCCTTCCCTCCTCATTCCCCAGACAGACCAGTACAAGCTGCTGGCACGACCACCCCGAGCCGAGCATCTTTGTCAGAGGGCTGCTGACTTGCCATTAATTTGTCACCTCCTCCAATGAGCCCAGGCTCGGTATTGTATTAATATGGCAATGCTGCTCTGGGAACAGCGTGTTCCTCCTCGCAGGGCTGCGTTCCTCCGTCCCGGGGCTCCAGCCTGGCTGTTTATGTAGAAGTTGGGTTTCCTCCCACCTCACCGCTGGTGTTTACAGAAGGAATCGCAGTTTCCTGTTGTGTTAGATGGAGCTGTCGCTCCGCTCTGGATTCCTGCCCTCCCTGCTTACACCGAATTGCTTTTTATCCTCATCAGCTTGAAAGTCTATTGCTTTTGCTCGCTACTACTGTAATTGTGAGACTTTTTTGCAGGGGCAGCCAGTGTGCTTGGTTTATAGAAGAATTTCTGGGCTTTTTTATGTACATATTTTCTCCCTGTGAGGTTCTTCAAGGGTAGCTAAAGCTCGAGACTAGTCCCACGAGATGAAACAGGGGTTATGCCCATTTTAAAGGTAAACCTAAGACACTGAGGATTCCAATTTCTTTTCACAAGTTGCGTAGAGACTGAGTGATGCCAAGATGCACGCATCCTTCCTGGGTCTTCCTCCTTCTGCGCAATGTTCCAACCATTTGACATCTGTCTAGCAATTCAGTAGTTGAGTTGCAATAGAAGATGCTCTCTATCCGATTCATTTAATCCTTATTCTGCCTCGTAGACAAGTGGTAGGAACAGTTGCTGTTCCACTAAAATGTTAAGTTTTATATCTGAAGTTATATAGGAACTTGCTACAAGGAAGCTGGAGGCACATTGCCCAAGGACATTGACCGTTTTCAGTGACAAGAAAATCTTGAATTACGTTGGGACTGGGTGCCAAAGAGGTCTGTTTTATACTAAGAAACAAGCTGGACCAAAGAGGTTGGACTAAAGTTTCCTGAAGACTCTGTGCTTTACAATTTAGTTATCTTGAAATACGTTGTTGTTGTTGTTGTTTTCTTGTTTTGTAAGTGCAGAAGAGCTCTGTGTGTGTCATACTGTTCATGCAGCATGGCCATTCATGTGTTACCAATATCTGCTTTTACTTATTCACACATTTGCATTTTCAATACTTTACCCTCTTAAACTCTGAGCGGGGTAAGCATTAATTTGTGGCCAGTAGTTGGGAACAAGATGCGTGCAGAGACCAAGCTATCCAGTGCATGGCAGCAGCCTCTGCACCACTGGCAGGACCATCCTGCTGCTTGGTTGGGGTTTGTCTACTCTTTCACACCCTTCTCCCTGAAAATCAGTAAAGTCAGCTTTTGTTCTTGGGAATGTCAACTAAAACGTGCAATTTATTCACCTTCATTTCTGTACTCAAACGTGCTATGTTATATGAGCAACCACATGCTGGTCTGGAAACTGTTTTGTGTTATCATTAATTTGAGAGCTGTTTTGTTCTACAAACTTTTGTATAGATTCCCTATTTTGTTTAGCTTGGCAGCCTGTTTGTTTGTTTGTTTAAAATCAGTGATTAAAATTAATGGCTTCAGGCTTTTGGATTAGCAGGGAAAATACAAATTTCAAAGCCTGCTATTTGCAAAATCTCTCGTGTATGTGACAGTCCTTGTTAAAGGTTGTCAAGAAAGAGTTGGTCATCTAAATATTATGATGATGAAAATGGACTTTATTTTCCCTTTGCAAGTTTGCATTCTTGCCAAAAAGCAATTTTACTTTAAATCCTCACTTTAATCTTGCAGTGGTTCTTGCTGCAGGAAATATTTTAAGTGAATACCAGATTTCTGCAGTTTACTATTTGGTAGAATAAAATGCTCAAAGTCTCTCCATTATTTAGTGCTATGAAAATATTTTTGGTTTTAGGCATGTCACAGTAATACAGATTTTCTTCTCGGAAATCTGTGAAGTGTGTTTAGTTTCTCCTTGGATTATACAGGGAAAAAATAACTGATGCAATAGCTTTATGAGCAAGATGCTGTGGTTTAGACCTCTCAAAATTCCCTCCATTGATTTAAAAGTTGTTCTTAAGCAAATCGTCTACGATACGTAGAATGTTTCTTGTTTTCATTGCGTAATATCCTTTTTTGGTGTATTACACAATTTATCCTTGAATAGGAAGCGGAATATTTAGGCTTGCAGTTTTATGTAATTTAAAAAAAAAAGCGTGGCAGCAGATCCCCATACATCACTTTTTCCTTGTGTCTCTCCAGTGGAGCTTGCTGATACCACCATTTTCATGTGAGCTAAGCACATTTGCTGCAGTTTGTGTTTCCATAGTAGCGTCAGAGGTTTTAACGTTTTCCTGTATGACATGAACAGGAGTTTGTACAAACACCAGCGGTTGGAGTTTTATTTGGGAGGGTGGAAGTTTTCCAAGTAAAACTTTACAGTCTTGTGGTTTGGGTTAGTAGTCACAGGTTCTGCCAGCCCAGAGGTTTCGTGAATACTTAAGCCCTTCTGGTTTCGTTCTGCAGAGAAACCCAAACCCAAGCTGTTCTTTCAGACTCTAGTCTGCATATGCACCTGGGATTGTGTATCTGAATATAATGTTAAGCAGCGAGTACAGGAGGAAGCAATTATCTATTTTCAGCAACCTGGGTAGCTTAATACATTTAGTTAGCCCATAAACTTCAGCAGGTTGCGTCGGCTCTGCTTGTACTCTGTGTTACTGGGCAAGGATTTCATAGACATACTTGTGATCATTATGGAGTTAACGGGAAAACATAAATTAACCATAGATCCCTGGATCCAACCCCCATTTTCTTCCACCGGCACCAGGCTGATGTTAGCAGACCATGGGACCCCACCAGTTGAGATGGTAACACTGGGTCTGATGAACGGGGCAGGGGTGAAACAGCCCTCCCGGCTGAGCGTGCTGCTGCTCAGGTACAAGCATGAAGCAAACCCAAAGGGTACTTTAATTTCGTTCCCCTGGAAGGACAGGGGCGTTGCACTTTTCCAATATGAAGCATCTTTAATGATGAACCTGAAGGTGGTGCTCCACCCTCCCTGCAATTTGCATAGGAGCATCCTCTTTAACAGTTACAAAATTACAAATACTGATAGTTGCAGCTGTCTTGGATGATTACTGTTTCATGGGAAGTTGTTTTTTGGTTTTTTTGTTTGTTTTTTTTAATCTTAATGGGAGTGAAAGTTTCTTGCTGCTTTTAAAGAAGGCTTGATTCCAGACTGAATCTGAGCTTTTTGACTTAGGACTTGAGAATATCTGGGGAGGTCACACCAGGTGAGGGTGGGAGGGAGAGACTTGCTGGTGTTTACTGGGGTGTCCCTTTTTTCCCCCTCCCTGTGTCCAAGACAAAAGGTCCCATTGAATGGGATGATAACCGTGTTGGTTCTAACTTCAGACCCTGGAAAGGAGACACAGGACCGTTGAGATGCCTTAAGCCCAGGCTAGCTGCATTGGATGCAGTTGGGAAGCAGAGGAGAATGGGCAGGGAGCTGAGCTGGTCCCGATGGATGGGAGCAGAACCCCCTTGTTTGAAAGGGGGAAAACATAAGAAAACTGGATGGGGAAAAAGATCCATTTCTGACCAAGATGTACCTAAAGCTTTGTGTGAAGATCTGCTCTCATGAGAGGTGGACCTACGCTGAGAGAAGACCTTCCAGAACAGCAGATACAGTTCTCACAACTGAAGGGGAGAGGTTACTTTTATGAGATTTCTATCTCCAAAGCATCTCGTCAGTTTAGCTGAAAATATTACCAAAAGCAGCATGTGTGAATTGTAAGCATTAAAGCATCAATGCCACTTTGAGTAATGACCTAATCAGCACCTAGATCTTAATATGCTTTTTGGCTCATCTTTGTGAAACCAAATTATTTCAGTTGTTTACAGCCGGGTGTGCTTTTTTTCCATGGCTTGGTATTCTGTCTTGCCTCCTAGCAGTTTGTTTACTGATACTAGCCCTCTTAATGTCAGTTGGCAGAGATTTTCCTTTTCATTCAAGGGCTGACAGCCAGCACACCTTTGAAGTCCCTGAAGAATTAGTTGCCTCAGGAATTTTTCATGCTGTAACCTATTTATGTTTTTTTTAAGTCAGTTTTTGATCATCAGCTGAATTCACAACCATCATCTTTATAATGTCATTAATAAAGTTTTCTTAGCCATGCTCATGGGCATTTAGGGCATTGTGCAATAGTTCAGTAAAAACATTACAAAACACAATAATCACAGCATATAAATAGAAAGAGGAACAGTCTGCAAAGATCTGAACATTGAAGCCTGATGGTATTTAGGTGCTAGAGCTTTATTCAAGGCCACCTCTCAATGATTTAAAATTTTAAAAAAAACACAAGCAAACCAAAACAAACAGAAAAAACCCACAAAAATCTCCAACACCAAATACAAAAAAAAAAAAAAAAAAAAAAAAAAGAAAATACTAAGAACAATGCTCCAGAAGGGTGTGGTTTAAAGAAAAAGGCCAGAAAATTGGGGAAACTTTATTCTCATGAATTCAACACTGGTTATACCAAACCAGTATAACCAAAGAAGCACTCTTGAGCTGAGAAAACTACATTTTTGGGACCAATTTAAGCACGGAAGTAAAGAGCTGGCCACCTGCTTGTGGGGTGCCTGTTAGTCAGGAAGAATGTTGTGGTTGGATGTGTGTATGAGAATACACATGTACTGGGGATTAAATAGTCAAAACCATATCATCAATCAAAACTTAAAGCTATTGCTTTTTTGTTGCTTAATAGTCAAGCACAGTCCACTAAACCACTGCAGTCTCCAGCTTTTTAAACCTGGAAACTTGGAGAATGTTGCATGATACCCATTCCACTCTTAAAACTGTATTTTCTACTAAGACCCTGAACTATCAGTACGTGTGTTAGAGAGAAGAGGAAAGTATCTCCTGAGAAGTTCTGAATTTCACCGCTGTCTTCTACAGTGGCTGGTGATGCCTGGAAACTACCATTTGGTGGTTGAGGAATGAGCATCTGCTCATATTAGGTTTGTATTATTGGCGGTTTAATGGCAATTTAGGCTTCCACATAGTAGCCTGTGTCTTCTGGTAATTCAAATCTAAGATAAAATTTTACATGGTGGTGGTTGCTTATAGGAAAGATAAGTGCACCTCTCAGCTCCCACGTGCATTGCTCGGTAATCCCAAAGAGCAATTAGCTATGGTGAGCATTAAGTATGTACGTAATGGGCAAATGCTATGCATGCACACGTGTCCACTTTGGTCTCATTTTTTGATAGGAGAAATTTTCAACATATTAATGATTTCACTATAGCCTTCAGATTTTGTGTCATCCCATGATGGTAAAGAGCAGTTGATAGGATTTTTTTGTTGTTGTTAGCATTCATCAATGAATTCATCTGAATGGTAGTTTGACTTTTGTTTATTTGCTTTAAAAAGGTATGTTTTCCATTTAAACGGGCAGTTGTTCAAGACCTGTTGCAAAACTGTGTTACACAATGCAAGAATTCCTAATACATAAGCAATAGACAGGCGTGGCAAGCTGTTGTAAGCTTTTTAGGTCAGTATGCCATGAATCAGTATTTATTATCTAACTTTTTCAGACTATGAAATTTTGACCTTTTAACTGTGCAGCTTAGTTTGGGACTGCGCAAGGAGGCAAATTATACACAAAATACTGTCCCTTCTGCAATCTTGGCGTTTGTAGCCTCCCACTCAAAGTGAAGGCAGCTCTCTGAGATCAAGTATTAGTAGTCTTACCATGTACAGCTTAGGCATCCTTTCTCTTCTTGAATAGCTAAATGCAAAAAAGATTGAAGGCATAAAAAAAAGCTGTGTGTTTCCTGTGCAGTTCCCTCATCCGTGGGAGCTTTCTTTTTCAAGGGCAGGATGTGACCTTTGAATGTCTACAGCATTGTAACTGAGACGAAATCATTTTATAAGCAGTGATCAAAAAACATATTGATGGATACAGTAGTGCCCTGTGGAGTTTTATCCCAACATCGCGTTAATCCAATCTGATAATCTGTCAAAGCTCCTATTTAATGAGAGGGAATACTTCCAAGCTGCAGTTCCCATTCTCCTACCAGTTTTCCAAAACACTCCCGTTACAGTTGTCAGCTTTATAGCGATGGCATCGTTCATTTGATACCAAATATTTCTAATAAAGAGAACGTAAATCCTTTGGTAAATTGATGTTTGTCACTCGGCAAGGCCTTTTGCCTTTCTGGCATAAAAGTCCAAGGACAACAGCTTATGCATAAATCGGAGAAAGCACAGAATGGTTTTGAGGAGAAGAGTAGGTGAGGACACCAGTTTCCTGATCAACGTTCCTGCTTCATAAAGCAGATTAACGTCTCCGAACTGTGATCTGAAACTACATAGCGGATTATGTGGTTACTGCTGTAGCTGCTGTTCATGACTGATTGCATTTAAAAGCCCTTGAGCTGCTTCACAGGGTATAATGGGAATAAACACGTTCTTGAGTGATCAGATAGTGTTTGGGTTGAGCATCCGCCCCTCTCATGAAGGCAGTGTATGCTCGCTGGCATTGGTAAGTCACCTGAAACCAGTTGTTCACCCATGAATCAAACTGGTATCTGATTAGTATTAAAAGCAGCAATGTTTTGTTCCCAAGTTGTTCCTCTGAATCTCTTTTTGCCTCCAGTATGTACTTAAAACTTTGCATAGTTTTCCAGTCTGGTTTTCAGGTAGTGAAGGTCATTCAGGTATCGGTGTTGGGAATATTTTTATAGGATAGTCCTGCATCTCCTACAATTCTGCAAATCAATTGTCCTGTTACACCATCACAGGCACTTACAGCATCCACAAGCTGCTTACTGCTTTAATCTCTGGACGGATTTAGAAGCCAAATGGCAAAGATGGATGGGAGCAGCACAGCACTTTAATATTCATCTGAAAGTCAATTGCACATTTGGCTTTTGCTTTTATAACATGAGAAGGAAGCATCAGATAAAATGGGAAGACTAATGAAAACAGAGGGTGTTTCTTGCCTCTAGGGAAATACAAAAGAACTCTTTGGGGTGTTCCAATTGCTTAGTTGCTCCCAATTTGGGAAAAAAAAAAATGGCCCCGAACTACTTGAGAAAGGGGAGCTGTGTCAGAATTGTGAGTTTTTTTCCAGAAATTTTAGACATCTGATGGTGCAGACAGGTTTTCTGATGGCCACAATAGGAGTTTGGTATCCAGTTGCTTTTGAAAATCCCACTGACCTCCCTTGAATACTCAGTGACCACGAGCTTTTGTGTTACAGCACTGCCCAGGAATGCAGAGCTTTGTGGTCCCATTGTTTTCCTGCGCCTATCTATTTTATAGCCTTTGAGGGTGGTTCGGTAACTCCAAAGTACATGGGATCGGCTCCTGAGTGGAGCTGGTGAACCACGGGTGGTATCAGTGGAAAGGATGCCTTGAGTAGGGTTGCACAGAGCGTACGTAGTGTGCATCCACCTTTAGGTGCTGGGCAGAGGCTGGTGGTTCAAGCCGTGCGGGCACACCAGTGGGAGAGGCTGCGCAAACCTCGTACCCGAGTTAAACTTCCACAGCGGCTGCTGTAGGCTTATGCTGGGGTCAGGACCTCGTTGTCCTCGGCATTTTACAAACGCAGCAGCGTAAGACTTCAAAAATCCTGAGGGGGCCTGTTTTGGCAGAGGAACAGACCCCGTTTGTTTGATCTGAGAAGACCATACAGGCTAAATAGGCCATCCAGAAAAGTGGCGAGAGCAGTAATGGAGGGATCCAAGTACAAGATGCCTTTCACAAAGGGAGGAGTGGGGCTTTTTTTGATTCAGGTGTTTTGCAATGACCCTTCTCCTGTCATTTGAAGAACTCATGACATGTTTTCTGTTTCTATTTCAGGCCAAGAACATCCTAATAGCCTGCGGCACAAATACAACTTTATTGCAGATGTAGTGGAGAAGATAGCTCCTGCTGTGGTTCACATTGAATTATTTCGCAAGTAAACAAGACGCCTAGTTTTGATTTTTGTATTCTTGAAAACAGCTGCCAGTGTGCCAGAAACGTTGACTGATGCTATGTAATAGCAAAGAGGTTTTTGAGATGATAAATATTTGTCATGCTTAAGAATTAAAGATAATTTAAGAGTTCTGGCAAAAAAAAAAAAAAGTTAAACTAATGCATGTGCATTGTCTTGTTAATGATAGTAAGTAACAGTAGATATCCTAAAGCATTAAAACCCACCAAACTCTTTTTGGCTGCATGTTATTTGGAGTGATTTGTGATCTTTCAACTTTCTGCAGCGATAAATGTTTCTTTCCCATGTCTTTTAGACTTCCTTATTCAAAGAGGGAGATTCCTGTTGCCAGTGGTTCAGGGTTCATTGTCTCAGAAGACGGACTGATAGTGACAAACGCCCATGTTGTCACCAACAAAAACCGCGTGAAGGTGGAGCTGAAGAATGGTGAAACGTATGAAGCTAAAATTAAAGATGTTGATGAAAAAGCTGACATTGCACTAATTAAAATAGATTCTCAGGTGAGTCGTTAAAGTAAGACACATTTTAATCCTCTTAATTTAGTATCTTCCTTTCCAAAAGCTATTGCTAATTTTCATGTTTGAAGGAAAGGCTGGTAGTTTAGTGGTCTGAGTATACAGAGAATATTTGAGCTAGGTGGATACACATTTTCAAAAGCCAAGTTTGGGGTTGGTACTGGTTAATTTTATCACCTCTCAGTGTAGTGCAAGCAAGTATGTAGCACTTTGGTATGCGTCCTCAAAATAAAAACCAACAACATGGTTTGCTGGCTGGTTTACACACGCATTGGCTAATATAACTCTCCCTCTGAGAAGAAATGTGGATGTTCCCTTGTGGTTGGTAGAGGGACTCATTAGTCTTTCTTGTGTGCCTATACTGAAGTCACAAATTGCTTTTAGAGGATGCGTTTGTCCCTCTGAAGTACCACGCTTATGTAGATACTAAAATGGAAAATATGTTAGGAAGTATCTTGAACTTGCAAGTTAAAGCCAGCCTGGAAAGATGCTCTTACACTGCAAGTGGCTTTCTGAACAAATGGGAATGCAACTTCCCATCCGTAGTCTCCCTCCATCTCAAACATATGGCTGTCAGCGTTACTCTGCCTCCTGCAACAGCAGGAAAGCTGTCATGCGGTTCTGCGCACGTCGACAATGTAGCGCAAGTGGAATATTGTGTTGAAATACTGTGTAATGTAGATGCAATTAGATGCATGTGATTGCTTGGGGTGCTGCTCATATTGGTTTCGCTTGTTTGGACTATTAGTTAATCACCTCCAAATTTAACAGGCAAGAACGTCTCATTTGAAACACATGACTCAAAAATCTGTAGATCTTGCAGTGTTGTTTTAGTTCAGACCTATTCCCCAGTGAGGTCAAAAGTGTTTGTGCCAGAGTTCATGACTAAACCAGACATCTAATGCAGAACTCTTGGATGACCCAAGATACGAAGTGCTCCTGCTGCTCCCTTGCCACCTTTGTCATTTAAAACTCTCTCTTTTTTTCTTATTTAAAAGCTTCTTAACAGCAACATGGCAGAAAACCTTAACGATACCAAGAATGGTTTTTGCCATGTTGTTTTTACCTCCGTTTTCCTGAGGTAACCTATGTACACATTTACCAATTGCTTCTTTTCTCAATGTTATCTTAAAATAAGCAAAAGCAGATCTGCAGTAACAAAGCAAAGAGAAAGATCCCCAGGATAAGAACTGACAGCATTAGGCTGAGTAGGATGTGGCAGGGAGTGAAGTGCAGCTGGAAAAGTGATTTAAAATTGGAATTCTGCACAACATGGTGGGCAAAGTAGACCGGAAAACGATGGTGAGAAGGAAAGGACTTGAAACAATAGGAAGGTGAGCTTCGGAGAAGAGAGAAGCTGGTGTGTCAAAGAGAGGAGACATTGAACTGATGTGACAGATCATTTGGGGGACTTAAGAAGAGAGCAGATGTAGAGTTTTATGTTCTTTGATACCCTAAAGAAATGGCTCCAAAATTTCCCTGGTAAGCTGCTTGTGGGAAGAGAGAACATGGAAGACTGGAAGCAGCTTGGAAAAAAGAGAATGCAGCCAGATGAGTTGCCTGTAGTGGAAACCACTGCTAAACAGGACTGGAATTGGCGATTCTAGTTATGACTTGCGAGATGGCAGATACTCTTCTTTTTTAAAAATTACTGCTCTGTAATTAAATGATAGTCATCTTCTTCCAGCAATTTAAATTTTGAACGTGGTTGTGACCCTGTTTTGCTAAAAGCACATCAGCATTGCAACCTAATTCGTTTATATATACTTGCAAATTCTTTAAGGCAGGAGCACTTTTTCTGTCTTAGAGCTATCTAGAGCCAAATCAGCTACATTTTTCTTTTTGGAGGTGGAGAGGGGAGGGATTGACCTGTTAATAATATTCAGTTGTCTATGAGAAAAAGTCTTGGTTTTAATGAAACTTCGGGAAGTGCCTCAGTGCCTGGAGGCTGAGCTCTTGCTGAAGGAGGTGAGCAGGTCCCCTGCTGTCTTCCTTGCGTAATGTCAGCTTAGCACATCCATCTGGGTAGCAGGAGATCAAATTTCCCATCTCTGCTCTAAATTAGGTAGAATATGGATATAAACTTGGGTCTGACATACCCTTGGTAAGTGTCCTATCAGTTGTACAACCCAGTACCTCGTATGTTGTTTCCCCCTGGCCCCTGGCTGTTGCATCTCAGGATAATTTTGAGAAGACTTGGGGAAAGTATCGCTTGGGGTTTTTTGGGGATGGGAGACCAGTTTTCCAGCTAGCTCTAGTGACGTGGCACTGGGAAATGCCAATCCAAGGTGAGTCCTGAGGCACCTCTGTTTGCAGGACAGATGATGTGTTGCACTTGGAGACTTAGAATTGCAAAATTTTAAGTGTTCACAAAAAGTTAAAATGGAAATGCGGTCAGCTGAAAAGTTGACTTTATGACTGAACTTTCATGTGACATTTTTATTTATCCATTCAAGTTCAGTGTTTGAGCTTTCCTTTTTGTACTGAAATGCCTTGCAATCATCCAGATTCATAAAAGGCTTTTTAAAATCACAGGTAGTGTGAGGTAGTAACTTGTTGAAGTTGAAATGTATTTGATGACTAAAGAAGTCAATTTGGCGGTACAAATAACCCTTTAAAAATCTGGGTATAGCATGAAAACCATCCCTAAGAATTTTTCTGAAGAGGTGAAGTTCTTCCTTTTGAATAAATTATTTGAAGATGATATCAAAGATGCAGAAATTTTTTTTTCTTCTGTTTTTGTGTGGCATGTTAAGGCAGGATCTGAAGGCTGAAGAATGCCTCTGTGGTTAGGAACAGAGCTGGGCTTGAAGTACGAGTTTAGGCTGTCAGCTGGTATTCCTAAAACTGTTAAGATTTTTGCAGCAGCTTGCATGCTGTTTTTCTTTAAGGTGTGAACATCTGGCCAAAGACATTACTAGAACTAATTTGGCTTTGCTGAGTGCAATAGGAAATGAAAGAGGGTGGTAAAATCTGGGCACCAGTAAGGATGAACTGTTTCCCTGATTAAATTCTTCTCCATGGAAAAACATGTTGCAGCCAATGAGGAACAGAAATCTTGGAGTTGTTCTTCTAATCCTAAAATACGCTTAATTTTACAGTCTGTAAAGGAGAGAAACTGTATTTCTTGTGTCCATAGTGAGACACAACAGTTTGCTGAAGTGTTGAAAGTAGGAAGTAAGACTGGAGTCAAGTGTGGTAAACGTGAATGTCATATAACTATCCTTCCAAATGGAAACAGCTTTGAGGAGACGGCAATACTAGAAAGAAACAGTGCAGTTGCAGACAATTTGGATATGAACATGCAAAATTTATAAAACTTCCCTAGAAAAATTTGGACTTTGGCAGCATAGGCAGAGGCTGGTGAAATAATCCACCCTGTGTGGCACGTGTGATACTGCAGTGAGCCTGAAATCCATCAAAAGTATTGCACAACACTCCAAAGCTAACAGATGCTTTTGAGCTGGCAGAGCTTGCTTATGAAATTCATCTCAAGACAAGTAACTACCTTGTTAAATGAGAATGTGTGATGCAGCTGCTGAAAACACCAGGAGGAGGAAAGAAAATTTTAGGGTGGTTTAATGGACAATGTCGGGGTTAATGGAGGGCAGAATTAGAAAAGAGCCCTGTGCCCTCACCCAAATCGAGCTGGAAGCCAAAAATAGTGGAAGATGGAGGTGGGTTTTGCCTGGAGACCCCTTTCACCCCTGGAAATTGGATTCTGCCTGCAGAGATGATCTCTGTGGCAGGTGCCTATGTTTTGACAGTGAGTACAGAAGAGGGGAGCATGGTGAACGGCTTTATTTTGAGGTGTATCTTCTTCCTACATGCTTAAAAACCAGCCATGAGACACTTCTCACTGACTCTGAAGTAGCACCTATGTCACAGAAGGCATGCCAGGGTCTGAAGATTTTTGTTCCTCAGCGTGACCAGTTACTGCCTTCTGTATCCCAGGCAGGATTTGGCATCTACATGGTACAGCAGTAGTGGGTTTGTGACCAGTCTCTAATCTGCGGTGGTATTTCACCGTTTTGCTTAAGGTTTTCCCTGCATCTTAGTAATAACCACTTAGTTTGACGCTTTTAAATCAACAAGACCTTCTGCCCTCGTTCCTTCGGTGGTTTTGTGAGGCAATGCAGCGTCTGTATCTTTGTGGTCAGAGGGGATTTGCTTTTTTTCCCCCTGTGTGTACAAACTGAAGGAAGCAGGAAAGCAAACTTTCCTGTTTGTGTATCAATATTTTAATAGCCCACATTTTGAAAAACCAAACTACTTGAATTCCAGATGTAAGCGGCTTTTCTAAAATGCTGTTTTACTTTGAAATCTGTCACTGGATATTGCATTGCTTCCTCTTGAGAGCCTGAGGAAGCCCATATATTGGTTCCAGAAGTCTTCAGGACCCATAGAAATGAAATAGCTTGTAAAAAGCTTGGATGTTAACTCCTGTTTACTCATCAGTTTAGGCAGCAGTCGTTTCCTGCCATCCTCATCTCCTAGTAGCCCTCGCTGTGGGGACGATGCGCTGGTCCAGCTCCCCACACAGCAAAATGCTCACACACCTCCAGGGTGGGTCTGCCAGCACCAGGGTATTTTATTTTATTTTAAAGGAGAACAGCAATATCTTGCCAGGTAGTTGAAATCATGGTGACGTAGCAAAACAACGCTTCATCCTTTTTTCTTTTTTTCTGCAAGCTTCCCATGCTCCATATTTAGATAAGGAGAGTCAGTTTTGTTTTTCTAACTATAGATGAAATACTTTTGGAGGCTTGTAATGCATTCAGCTTGGGTTTTTAATTTTCGTTGGCGTTTTGTCAAGCAGTTTCTAGATTGCAGATGATACTCTACATTTTTGTATGCTCATGGCCTGCATTTTTATTTTGCCATAACGTATTCTGAAAGTTAAATAGTTTCATTAATGAGAACAGAAATGCAATTCCTAGGGAAGTTACATGTCCTGCCAGAGTTCTTACAGCTGAATTAGCATACTATACAAGCATCTGTTTCTTTTCCACCTAAAAATAAAAAGTATGACGGAAATCTGTTGCTATTTAACACAAATTGAACTCGGAACAGAACATTTGTCTCCTCTTCATCAGAAGAATGATTGGACTGCAAACTGCTTCATGCATATTCGTGATCTTCCTTCCACAAACGAAGGGGATTACAGTGCAGAGAAGGGATTTACTTGCTTTCTGTGCCAACATAGAGACAGATTCACTTGTTTCATGGATGAAAAAGTTCCAACTGAAACACTTACTGGTTATGGCCGTCTGTCTCTTGGTTTTTATTTCTCTCTGGCTCTGGCCATGCCTGCTGGTGGTTGCATGCTGTCTGCCTCTTCTAGTTGCAGAGCTGATTCATCCAGGCTCCACTTATTTTACCTGACTCGAGTTATGCTGGTAATGTACATCAGATGAACATCCAACTCCCAGCTGATGATGCTTTTCTTCTATACTTGTCCTAATCTCTCGTGCAACGATAGCTGCATCTTACTGTTGGATGAAGCTGTTTCTTGGGAAATCCACAAAATCCATTTTGTGGGAGTGATGTTTATCCAGGGTTTGAGCCAAATCCATGTATAAAAATGTCTGAAGCTCTTTGGGATGAGAAAGGCTTAAAATATTAACGCTAATTAATGGCTCCTTCTCTGGCTGGGTGTAAACAGTGAGTCATGTGCCACTTATGGTTTTGCATGTTTAGTCCTATTTCTGTGTACTCGCAGAATGCCTGCTTGCAGATTTGTTTTATTGAGTAAACACGAATCCCAGTAGAGCCCTGAGGCTTCATCAAATGAAAATCAGAGGGAAAGAAAGGATGTTATGTGTTGCCCAAGGTCATGCAGTGAGTCACTGGGAAAGCTGGGGTTAGGTGCTGGGTGTTTCTGGCTCCCCGTTCATTGTGCTGCAAGGCATGCTCGTTTGCCTGGGATTTCAATTAACTGTTGTGGCAAATCTATAGTTAACCGAAGAGAATCATGAGTTGTGACAGTAGTTACATCGTCCTGATGACCATCAGATGTTATGTAAAAATTGAAGAACGCCCATTTTATTAAGTATAGTTATTAAGGGCCCCAGACCCAAGCACTTAAGCTTAGTTTACAAGGACTGTCTTAACATCCTAGGCAAGAGCTTGCCAGTGGAAGGTGTGAGGGCACAGGCAAGGTGTTCTGATATGATTCAGGTTACAACGTTGCTGTAAGTGCTTGCCCTGCGTTTCCAGTGCTCCTCTTGTGGACTGCAGAAGGACATACTTCCCATTCGATCACTTGATGCCCAGGGATTTTGATTGGTTTTATACTGATTTCACTTGACAACCACCTCTACAATTTAAATGAATGCTTGGGTTTTTTTGATAGTGGAAAGTTTAGTTCTGAATGTGGCAATGTTATTTTTAAGCTTTTTTAGAGAGAAAACCCCAGATTTAAAGCCACTACAATGCATATACTCATCATGACCAATTCTTTATGGCATTTACTTGCAGAGGCACTAACGAGAGTGTTTACATGCAGTGCTGTTAGTGTGCTCTGCACCACACTGCAAAATCATAAGGAACAGAGAACACATTTTCCAAAGCTATGTTTCATAATATGTGCAGAACAAGGCAATTTTAGCAATTGATTCTTGTTCCTGGGAAAAGGAAGGTTAGCCAAACTCTTTCCAGAAGGCATGTTGAATCACATGGATGACCCACAGCCAATCCATACAGCGTTAGACTTTGAACTGAAGCCTAGCTGGTATAGGCATAGGCTTGAAAACTCAGCACAATCAAAAGTAATTGTATTAGTCAGAGATTGTTCATGTATTTTCTTTCTGCTGCCAAATGCGATTTTGGCTTCGTGACTGTTTTTATAACTCAGGAACATTGTATAAATCTTTAACTTTGTACACGACCGGTCTTTTTTTTTTCTACTAATGGGAAAAAAAAAAAATTCTGTTTTCTTTTGCTTGTCCATGTTTCATTTCTGATAAATGTCCTCTTTCTCTATGAAGTATCCGTTTTAAGTGTACTGGGATACAAACAAAAGCCACTTTTTGTGTTGGTTTGGTTGGTTTTTTTTTTTAAAATAAGGAAAAGCAGTGCCAAAAAGAGATGCGCTTCTTGACCAACAACATCTTGAAAACACGTGCTACGTAAGCTTAATAGCATCTGGCGAGAGAAGGAAGGGCCAGCGTGCTCTCTCTATCCAAACAATACCCATATGGGGCTGTTTGTGTTGAATATACTGCATGCTTCCCAGCACAGATAATCGTAGCTGCCTCTTCCCCGCTGTACTGGAGAGGTCCCTTGGAGTCAGGGCTGTGGTCTGAGATGATGAACCGCTCAGCAGCGTTGCCTTGGGATGTTGCTGCCTGTCTGCTGCGCTGCAAACGTGATGGGGAAACTGGGTATCCTTCCCAGAATTAAGCCACAACCTTGGTTGGGTTTATCTATGGCTGTGGCACTGATAGGGTCCAGGGATGGTTATTATTTAGTAGTTATTAGGGCATTGCTGGTTGTGAAAACTTTCCTCTCAAAAATAATTAGAAAGGGAAATGTTTTTCTCCTTACTGTATTGCCTATTCTGTTGCTCTTCCAACTGATTTGGTTTAACAAGCAGTTGGTTAATTATTTTCTTGCTGTCTGGAGACTGAACGATAAGTTTCCACTGAGCATCTTACCCTGTCTGAGATTTGGCAATGAGTTTTATCAAAACAATCTGTTCATCTGAGTAAAATTTTGCTGGTGGAATTGTAACAAAGTTGGATAAAGGATACACGGGACCAGGCTTGTTAAATATTAAAACCATAACTTCTGTATTTGCAGCAGCATATAGTGATGACCAATGCCTTTATTTTTTACTTTCTACTTTATAGACACTGCATATCTCCTAGGACATTTGAAATAAAACTGTAGGTGAAAAAAATACAAAGTGACGGGCATTACTGGATTTTTGTCCCTAAGGGTGACTTATCGATACAGGCTTTCAAACAGCTGATGACAAAAGACCTCTAAAGAGCTAGCTCTTGATTTCAAATTTAAACACGTAGTATTTCCCTTTTTTGCCAAAATTTAATAATGATTCAGCTCTTACTAACTTCTGAAGCAAAGTTATCACTAACTTGGGAATATGTACAAATAATCAGGGCATACTAAATATTACCTTGTTTCTTTGCTGCAAGAGCACACAGTATATACCTTTTGGATCCCGTCAAGTAGAGGTGCATAAATCTGTGTGCTTTGGAACAGGTATGGGATGAAAAAGGCATCTTTACAAGTTTTCTGGAAGGAATGAATTACAGGAAGGAGTATTAAGCCAATTTGTACCTCCATTTTAGGTACACAGCTCAAGAATACCTTGAAGATACCCTGATTTTTAATAAAGTGACTATGTTACCCAGTCCTTGGAAGCTGGTTAAGTGAATCTCTAGGTGGGGCTTCCGCTGCATCTAGAATCACTGGCCTGTTCTGAAAGTTTACACTAATGCCTTTTTCCTTTTGGGGCCGGGCTTGCTGAGCAAAGGAAAGAATTTTTGACGTGGGGCAAGCTTGGAAGAAAGCTGTGTTAAAGTTAGGTTTGCCAAGCAAAAGATACATCCCTTGAGACTTCCTCTGTTTTGATTTAGGGTTGGGCAACATCCTAATCCTCCAAATCCTGAAGTTGAAACCTGAATTTATACATGTCCAGGTCCGTTGATGCTAATAGAAATAGTCTAGTGACATGATTAAATACCTGGAGAGGGTCAGGATCATTTGGACAACAGGTTAAACATAAGAGGATTAGAAAATTTGTAACATCACTGGCAGGGTAAAGACTGATTTTTAAAAATACGAAGCAAAGAAGCAGAGCTCAATGCGTATTTTGCAGGCAGGTGATAAATAAAGGCAAAGTATTTATTTGAAATATGATCTGTTTCAGAACACCCTTAATTACTTGGTGAGTAGCAGACCTTAAGAACTTCCTGGCTGTTTTCGGATTGCTGCGGTGGGGAGGTTATTGGTCCAGTTGAATCATCTGTTATCCAGCCAGTTCAGTGCCTGTGCAGATACAACATGTCTTGGAGAAATCATAGTCGGTTCCCTTGATCCATTGCATTGGCAAGGATGTGTGGATCCAACCTTCCCTCTTCTTTTTTTTTTTTAATTGCTGTAAATTGCAGTGATCTCTATTGATGCTGGATTTTAAGAATGTTTTGTGTCTTAGTGGGAATGTCTTCAATAATGTGATAGTTAATATGTTTATATTAGAGATAAGATCTTGAAAGGAAACTATAATGGTATCCCCTACTGTCATAACAGAAAAATCCCAGAAAGTCTTTAAATCCTAACACCCTTAGAAGACATCGGTGTATGTAGGAGGCAATATAATTATTTAGAAGGATACTCCATTGAAAAAAAAAGTAAGATGAAACATTAGCTGGTGTCTTTTGAGAATATAAAAGGCTTTTAACTATACATATGCATGTTTGATACACTTTGGCTGTTGCTTTCATGAGTCTTTAGTGTTCACTCTTAATATATTATTTTTATTTCAGCAGCTGTTGGCTAATTATTTCAAGAAACTGTTGGAAACAACTCATTCCTAGTATCATCAGATGTTTGCTTTGTACAGCAGAGCATAAATATTCCTTTGGTCTTTCAATTGTTTTTGATTAATGGATACCTGTTGTGGAAAAAGTACTACAGTCTAAAGAGCCCACTCTTTGGAGGAGAAATTCATTGAGATGTTTCTGTACAGAGCCACATGAAATACTGAAAGGAAACAGAGCAAGCAAAATCCCCAAGGGATAAAAGCCTCTCTTTTTTCCCTCTGCTCTATTAACATATTCATGTTTCTGTTGAATTTGTTCTATGGATATAGAAGTGTCTTAAGAACTTTTTTTTTTTTTTTAATTTATTTTATTTTTATTTGTAGGGTAAATTGCCAGTTCTTCTGCTTGGTCAGTCTGCAGACTTGAGGCCAGGAGAATTCGTGGTCGCGATTGGAAGTCCATTTTCGCTTCAAAACACAGTGACTACAGGGATCGTTAGTACCACTCAGCGTGGAGGGAAGGAGCTGGGGCTCCGCAACTCCGATATGGACTATATTCAGACAGATGCCATCATCAACGTATGTCCTGCTCTGAGCCTTGTCCCCTTCAGCTCTTAGATTTCATTAATAGTTACTCTGAAAATTCTGAAGAACAGTGAACATAGTTAGCTTTTCTCTTATCCATGTAAATATGGACATCTGCGTTGCCGCAGCACTTGATCGTTGTTTAAAAATCCCCCAAGGAACTACCCCAAGTACAATATCTGCCTTCACTTCAAAATTCTTACAAATTACAAGGGAGGAGGCAATATTCTCTGGCAAATAAATATCTTTTCGAAATCCATCATTTGTTTTCTAAAAAAGAAGCCAAGCTTAGTTTAAGGATTCGAGTTTGTTTCTGCTTTAAGGCAAAACAATAGGTTTTGTACTTCTACTGTTGGCCTTATAAGAAATCTTCACTAACAGCTCCCAGAGCTGTGCTAAAATCTTCTAAGTTGCTCGTGTGGTACTATTAAAACAAAAGATAAACCTTGGCTTTCTGAACTTACTCTGGCAAGAGAAGAAGGACTAAGCATTTGCAAAGCTCAGCTAAAAGGGGTGATATTAAGGGTAGTTAATGGGTTTGGAAGTTAAGACTGTTCTATTGCACGTATTTAATAGACAATGAAAAAATTACTACAGAAATATTTCAAAAATTTCTTTTATGTTGTGCTTGCCATGAATTAAGAGGTAGATATTAAAACATGTTCTTGCCATATGTTTATTTTCAGTATGGAAACTCTGGAGGACCCCTAGTAAATCTGGTAAGAGTTTCTTTAAGTTTGCTTAGTGTCAAGCTTATTATTTTTTACTTTTTATTTTAAAAACAAAACAAAAAACCCCACCCAAACCAACAAGCAAACAAAACCCCACACCAGAAGTGTGATTCAGAGCTTTCGATATCTGGCTGACTACACAAAATTCACATAGTTCTTACGAATCACTTGTCTGTGTTTATGTTGGCAAATCATAAGATATGCTTGGATTTCAATATTTAAGATGTTTATGGTTTGCATAGTTTTGAGCAAGTGTAATGCCTAATTTTTTTTGCCTATGCCTTGCAGTAAGTAAAAAGCAGAATATAAAGTTGAGGCGTTTGCCTTCACTGTATACCATGCAGCCAGCAATATTTTTTTTTGCATACTGAAACTCAGCTTAATGGTTCAAAAACATACCTACCCCTTTATTTTGAATCACACTGAGGGGGTTGAAAACCCCACATATTTATCAGGATATTAGGGTTTATTTGCTGATATTGTAGGACGCGGTCAGAGCTGACCTTGCAGCAGCTGTGGATAAGCCCAAGAGAGAAAAACGGAAGCAGGTTGCAAAACCTAACTGCTGTGTGGGAGCTCTCGGATGGGGGCACGTGGGGTCGAGCAGAGGAGAGGCAGTGGTCCTCAATGAGGGACGGCACAAATTGGAAGAAAGAACGAGTCAGAGTTTCTGCCTTGGAGATTCGGCAATTTTTTTTCACCCGACTTGCAGTACAATTTCAGCACCAGTAACCTCTGTTTAAAAAAATTGTAGTTGGATAGTTTTTAATCGGGGATAGATCAGGGAAAGAAGGTGCTGAGATTTCAGAATTGCTCGAATCGTCAGGTGACAGCAGAGATGTTTTATCTGAAACTTTCTCTTGGAGTCACATTACCAGCAAATCTTTGATTTTGGTGAACTGTCATTTTTCTTTATATTATTATTATTATTGCAATATTTGCTCAGAACCAGTCGGCGCCATACTTCCTGAGGTGCCTGCTGAAATAAACAGACCAAAATTGGCTGTAGAATGTGCTGCTCATCTGCAAGAAGGAGAGCTGCCCAATTCTGATCGCTCTTCTGCTAGTGGCAAGATGAATATCCACATCAGTTTTCCAAAACCGTAGAACAGTTGTTTATCGATAGACTCAAAAAAACTAGACTTAAAGAGACCATTTAGAAAATTGAAAACCAGCTACAAAGTGTGTTATGTGAATTTGTCTTTGTGATTGCTTGGAAGAAATCATCCATTTCTCTTTGAGATGTTTCACAGTTGCTAATAACAATTTCTTACTTCTCCAGGATGGTGAAGTCATTGGAATTAATACATTAAAAGTTACAGCAGGGATCTCGTTTGCTATCCCATCAGATAAAATAAAAAAGTTCCTAACTGAATCCCATGACAGACAAGCTAAAGGTACTGTACTTCACCACTTTGAAGGAGAAAAACATGAAAGTAGTAATAAACCAGAAAGTCAACAGCCTTTGAGGCTCTTTTGGTAAGAGCAGTTGATTGAGACCTGTTTTCCTTTTTGTAGGAAAAGCTATAACCAAAAAGAAATACATTGGCATACGAATGATGTCCCTGACTCCCAGGTAAGTAAAAGCAGTGGTTCCTCACCTTCCCGAAGTGTGGTCACTGCATGCGTTTGGATCAAGCTCATGATCTGCAGAAAGAACCAGGAGGTTTGAACCAGCAGCGAGTGCCTCTGTAGGTGCTGGTGACAACTCACAGCCCGTTTTTGCTACCTTTTTCTCTGCATCTGCTACATGGTTGAACTCTCCTGTAGACTCTTGTATGAGCTAGTTTTTAAACAACTCCCTGGCTTTTTCTTTTCCTTAATGCTTCAGAAGAGAATAGCTAGCAATTGTTAATTTGTCCTGGGGCTCTATTACTGTTGTTATCTTCTGTCCCGTGCTGTCGTGTGGGTCAAGGAGAAAACAGGACCGTATGTTTTCAAGAATTACAGCAGCTACGTGCGTATTTCCATTTCTATAAAATTATTTTCATTAAACAATTCACTTAATGTAAAATGAAGCTTTTGTGTGGACTTGCTTATTCATACTCAAACCTGAAAAGACACATGAGCAGGTGATACTATGTCCCATAGAAATAACCAGTTCTCCCATGTGCAGGATCACGGGTGTAATAACAAAGCATTGAAACCAGAAGGGGCTTTTTTTAGGTGTTCAGGATCTGCTAGTTCTAAAGTAATGGCCAAGTTTTGAAATGTTTTAACTCTGATCCTCAGTATCTATTGAAATTATTGCCTTTACCAGAAATGGGCATTAAAAAGCTGTATGAATGCAAAAAGTGTAATAATTCTTTAAATACTTGTAAGGGTTAAAATTAATTGTGAAGTGTCACATCGACTTGTATAAAATACCTCAGCTAGTGAATGCTAAGTGACTTAACTAAGTGAAAATGCGCGATTTTTTTTTTCCCATCTTGTCAAAATATTTTTGTTGCTGTTTCTTCGTTTTCCAGCAAAGCTAGAGAGCTGAAGGATCGCCATAAAGACTTTCCTGATGTTGTCTCTGGGGCCTATGTTATTGAAGTAATTCCAGAAACACCAGCTGAAGCGTAAGTTGAAGTACTTTTTTCTCAAAACCACTGCCACTGATTTAAGGGGGTAATGATAGAAAATGTTCCCTGCTTAACTCGCTATCTTGATTATGTTAAATTAACAAAATTACAACCATCTGATAGCTATTAGGTTGTCTGCTGGAAATGGGTTTGTGGTTTTAGTCCGGTCCCCGATGGGCAATATTGCGAACGTATCAGGGTATTGCAGCAAAGCCCTGTCAGCGTTCCCAGCTGAAAGGGCAAGGATTCAGTGGGCGTGAAAACTCAATTTTCATTTTTCTCAGCAATTGCTTCCAAGACGTCTGTTGTACCGATGCCAGTGCTGAATAAAGACGTTTGCTTGTGCACACTCCCCATGGCCCTGCCAGTCACTCCTATAGGAGAGTGAGGGAGAAGCTTTGTGTCCACCTTGTGAAGACGTGTCCATCTTGGCCCAAGCACCTCAGTGTTGGGCAAACCCACCAGCTCTCCTGGCGTGTCTCCACTGGGGGAGAAATCCTCTCTTGGCCGGAGATACTCTTCCATGTGAGAGCTTTGGGAGGAGTCACGTTATTGGGAGGAGCTTTTGGTTTTGGACAACTGATCTTTTTCTTTGTATTATTCAGTATTTGCTCAGAAGCTCAGCTGCTGGTTGGTACCACGCTTCATGAGATGCCTGGCTGAAGTATGGCATCTGGTCTGTGGTCACTGGCACTGGTCTGGCTGGCTCCTGCTGGAGACACTTTCCTTTCAGAGTTTGTTTGATATGAAACCGCTCAGAAATCCAGGGTAGGAAATGGGAAACTTCATTCATTTTCTGAAACTAGAGATCATTTAAGAGAAGAGTAAATCTCTGTGGCAACAAAGAGGCGTGTGTAGCACCAGAGGCATGTAGGCAGAAAGCTCCTTGGAGCAAGTGTATGTTGTCTCTTCAGAAGACTGCAAGGATGGTTGGATGATGTCTGTTGCAGTCTGGATGCCACTGTAAGATACACAGTGTTAGCTGTCTAGCATGCTCTCTAAATTATTGCTGCGTTTTGTAGGTAATTCTTGTTGGCAGTGCTGTTTGTGCAGAATAGTGGTGTATGTCTGTGATGTGAAATGAAATTGCAGTTAGCGTAGGAATAATGTGGCTGCTCCAGTGTGGGACTGGACTTACTGCCTTGGCATGCAGGCCCAATCTGAAGGTGCAGAAAAATCATTACAGGAGTATGGAGAATTGCAGAGAGTGGGAGAAGGGCATTAGAGAGGTAGAAGAAATGCGAGGCAATGTAGCCTCATAACTTGAAGGCAAACTCAAATAAGGATGCTTCATCTGAAGTCTCGCCTGGCAATTAAAATGGAGCCCATGTCTGCTATGTCTCCCCTGCTAGAGTTCCCTTGTCAGTGGGTTTCCCCGTTCTGCTGATTTCCTTTCCAATGCGCGTTGTGTAGCCATGCTGGTAGGGGATCAGAGCAGTTTTGCAGCAACCTTCTCCTGGGTATGAGTTGAGAGGAGAGGCTGCCTGAGAGACCAAGATAATCTGGAATGGTTTCTCCCATGGAAATGTTTTAAGTCATGCCTTCGGTAGGCAACCAGATTTGTCGCAAACGTTGGCCAAGGCATCCTGCTTGCAGGAGACACTCATGTAAGGCGTTTTCTGCAGGCGGAAGAGGCCGATGACTGCTCTGTGGTTTTGTGAAGAACGATTATGCTGAAGGGCTGAATCACGTCTGATCTGGTTACTTGGTTAATATTTCCATAACTTGGAGCCAGATCGTTGTGCAATACCGGGCAAGATGTTGTGGTCGATGGTATCCCTCACCACCCCGTTTCTTGGTCCCGGCAGCAGTCTCGGCCAGCTTGGGGAGAGACCCGCGGCCCCAGGCAGGGGAGCCTTGCCGTGCTGCCCCGTCCTGCTTTGAGTCGGGAGGGTTTTGGTTTCGGTTTGCATATGGTGCTGAGGTCAGGAGAAGGGATTCTGGGGGCTGCGGGCAGGCAGACGAGTGGAAGGACACACATGTGTTTTTGGTGACTGGGCTAGATCGCTGCGTGTGTTATTCTGCTCGGGTTTAAAGCATGAAGGTAAGGTGAAATGGCTGTCAACCTGTGTATGGAGAACAGCACGGATCCAGGACCAAAATTCCTCATGCGTTAACACAAAGTGCCACTCAAATTGCTTTGCTATGTATATGTGAATAAAAGCTTAGAAAATTTCCTCTCTAAAACAAGTGCCTTGTTGCAATTATTTTAAAAGGAAAATATGCCTCTATCTCTTCTACTAAATCAGCATCTAGGATCCTTATTGCAGAATTCTGCGCTATTTGCAATAGTGAATTCCTTTGAAGGCAGTGAAATATGGGATTCATCAAGCTTGTACCTCCATCCGATTTCTGAGGTTTCTGCATTGTATTGTAATCTTCACCGCTTCATAAATTCTGATTGCTTTTTCCATGCTCGCTGTGTCTCTGCAACTGCCATTGGGTGGGAAATAGGAAAAATGCAGCAATCTTTTTTTTTTTAAACAATATTGTAGAGACAATAAAATGGCAATTATAGTAATACATTGCTGCTTTGTATTTTCAGTGGTGGCCTGAAGGACAACGATGTGATTATAAGCATCAATGGACAGTCGATAAGTTCAGCCAGTGATGTCAGTGACATTATTAAAAAGGACAGTACGTTGAACATGGTTGTACGCAGGGGCAACGAAGATGTTATGTTAACAGTAGTTCCTGAAGAAATCGATCCCTAACCAGAAACATGAGCTGGATTTCATGTTTTCTTTTAACAGCATTGGACTGCTTATATTCTCTCTGTGCTGGTACAGGAAACGTTAGACTTCTGACCAACATTCTGCTTGTTCAGTGGATTAGTATTGGCCAACAGAGTAACTTCTAATAGGTTTAAGGTGCGAAGTCAGTGTAATTTCACATACTCCAGATGATAATTTTTTTCCTTCTGTATTATGTATGCAATGTATTCTTTACTGGCTGTTACATTCCCCGCTTAACAAATCGACGTTTGCTTCCCTGTGTTGAATAGATTTACCATTATTTCCGCTAAGATTTACACAAAACCCACGCACACAATGTGTGTTGTGGTATTCAGGTATTTATAGGTTAGCTGTGTTTTAACTGGAAATACCATTGTAAAGGAGTAGTTGGTTTAAAAGAAAACACAATTGGGGGAAAAAAAGTTTGGTTTATAAACACAAAGAAATCCCAACCAAAATAACCTTTTGAGGATCCCGTGCAGGATTTTAATACTATGATATTTTCCTAGTGTTATTAAAAGAATTCAACAGTACTTCTTGTGAGTGATTCATTTTACTTCCCCCTGTGGAGTGTTTTTCTTTGAACAGCACATCTGCCTGAAAGGATGTCCTGATGGTCTCGTTTTTATCATCATAAACCAAAACACTTATTTTTCAGTATGTGCTTGTATTTGCGCTCTTGTGCATCTGTTTTTCTTAGCATGGCTGGCTCGAATTTGTCATATTGGCTATTGCAGATTGCCTGTCTTCCAGATGTTTAGTACATTTTCCTTATTGTTTTAATTACAACTTCACCAATGCCTGAAATCTATTTGCCCACTATAGAAATGGTCATATTGTGGATCACAGATCCTATACCATTCTAGTTCAGATATCGGGTTGTTTGTAACTGTTGTAGATCTGGCCTTAAGCTCTTTCAAACAGGCTGTTTTATTCACAATCTTGAGTGCCGGTGTGCGTATGATAGGACCTGGTTTTGACTAGGATATTGGGCATTCCTCTAACATAGAGACTAATCTTTATGCATGTATTTATGGATGCCCTTCAAGCTTGGGTAGTGAATGGGATTGTCTTACTGTGAAGGAAAACAATCAACTACATTTAATTACAGTGCAATTACTCACTGCGTTAAACAATAGGCTAAGCAGCCTTTCCTTTCCTCTATTGAAATATGTATCTTAGAGAATAAATGCAAGGGCTATAGACAACTTTTGGTGACTGTCATTCCTAAACATGGTCTTCTTTTGAAAACTGCTTCTTAGTAAAACTCTTCAACTGGATAGCTGGCAGTTTATTATTCCACACAGTTACAGCAAGAAATCCTCTAGACCTGGATCCCTGACAGTGTTCTTTCTCCCTCCAGCTGTGTTTCAGTTCTGTTTCAGCCAGTTTATCCCAATTTGGGGAGCCTCTGTATCCCTGAGCACCAGTGCCTGCCCTTACTCCCCTGGATCACTCTAAATTTACACAGCTATACAGTGTATTGACCCTTGACATGACTGAACACCTCATTACTGATTTACTTGTTCCGTCACTGTGGTAAATCACCCATGTCTGAAAATCTGCCAAGATATTACAGTGCCAAGCGCTGAAGGTCTGCAATACTTTCTAGCCTGAAAGATGCAAAGTAGAATGATCTTGCGGAGTTGCTTTGTAGTATATTTGCACTGGAAGTTCATCTTACTGATGTTGATTAATGTTTCAGCTTCCTGTTGAAGTGGTATTGTATTTTGTTGAACATCCCGTGTAGTGCGTAGTGGGGTGACATACAGCTCTCAGCAAAAATGAATTAAAAAATCACCTACCTTCTCTGCTACTGCACCCAACTAGCAAAAATTAAGCTAAAGCCCCAAAGCCAGGAAATTGTGTTTAAAACAAGTTATTTTTCATCTGCCTTTTTATTTCAAAACAAGTGGTTGCATAATTTACAGAGCTGGTTGATTCTCTTTGTTCCTGTTGTTTGTTATTGTGGTCTCTTAATATGCTAAACCATTAATATTTTTGCTTGGTTTCTAGCTAGCTACTTTTGAGCTTACTGATGATGTCCTTGCAACGACAGCTAGCACAGCACATCTTTATGCCTGTGCTTTACACAGATACTACTGTGAGGCATAAATGCCTCAGGACAATGGCTCTGGTTTTGCATGTGCATTAGGAAAGAGGCAAATGAACTTGACTGCTGTTCAGTAGTTTTCTTGCACCACTGGGATTAGTGAAGTATTTGACCAGATTTCTAGCCCGTAGCTCCATCTAGTGGGATGCACAATGGTCTCTTACTGCAGCCACTCATTTTCCATCACATATTTGAAAGTTATTTTCTGATTTATCTTTTTTTATTTATAATTTTTTTTGCATCAGATATTCACAACCACATGCATATCCTGAAAAATGTTTAGAATTTACTCTTCCAGTATCCAACCATGTTTGCAGCTACCCAGATGGTTTCTTACAATCAAAATTGTCTCTACATGTTTAAGTATTTAAAATAAGATTACTGATAAGCAGAGGCACAGAAGCAAAGTTTGTCTTTAATACAATTAATTAGCATGTATTTTTGATGTATTATTGGGTTATAGATTTGGAACGGTTTTTATTCTTTGTTGCTTCAACACTCAGTTCTTTTCCAAAGTGCAATTGAAAATACTTTGTACAGAATAGCTTTGGCACAGTTTGTATAAATATCAGTTTCCTGGAAATTTGAGCAAATGTTGGATGCTAAATCAGGGAAATTCTGGCTTGATTTTCAGTATTTTGGAATGTCTGAAATGGAAACTGGAATTGCTGCATATGTGATGCTGAGTAGATGGCTACATGTGGCTACACTCAGAGGTAGTTTTGAAAAGCTAGTTCACTTATTCCATGAGGGAGATGTCTTGAGCTCTAAAAGTAATGATCATGACTAACAATTGTCTGGTTTCTGTGGCTTATATGCCAGGCAGAAAGGTCCTGTGGTTTCAATACCAGAGAACCTTTTTTTTTTTTCCTCTCCCCCCATCCCTCCCCATAACTCTTGTATTTATGTTAAGGAAGCTGAGGGTGTTTTTAAAACCACATCTGTCCAAATTACAGTGAGACAGACATCTAGTAGGGCATTAGATTATATGCATGTTCTTATCGTATATCAGAAAAATACTGTAGAAGCGATTAAAACTGGAGTTGCAGATATCCAGGAGAAATAGTGGTGATCAAGAAGTTATTAGTCACCAATCTAGGGCAGTGAATGATGAGTGCCACCGAGTATTTCTTTGCACGTGATGGTAGGTCACTGGTGAGGTTCTGGGGATCTCCTTGATTGAATTATATTTGAGATTATTCCTGCTGCTCCTAAATTCCTGTATTACTTCCCACTGTTTCCTCCTCTACCCAGAAAACATGGATGTGACTTGGCATCCTTTACTCAGTTTCCCCCCTCCCTTTGCTCTAACTCCCTCCCCATTAGTACTGCTGATGACTGTCGGCGAAAGGAAACCAAAGTCAACAGCCGGGGCTGACGTTAAGTCAGACTTTGAAGTTAAATGTCAGCGAGCTGTTGTGAGGCTTTCTTCACACTGAGAGGCAGAAACGTCCCAAAGAGAGAGGAAGGAGCCAGGCAGAGAAGTGATGGCTAAAGGTCTGCTTCACTTTGCTCTATCCTCAACTTCAGGATGCAAACCTCAGCTCGGCAACCTCCCATCCGGACCCCAAAATTTGACCAGCATCTGATAAAGTGATCCGGAGGTGAAGGGATTGGTAGCATCACTCATAACGCGAAGGCCGTTGTCATTCTTGGCTGTATAGAAATGCGTAGCAGGCAGCTTTGCTGATTTTACATTCGTAGTGTGCTGTGCATCTGTACATCCTGCACTGTGTGTCCAGCTGGGCTGTACAGATGTCTGACACACACCCCATCTATTTTGTTCTCAACCCTCAAACTCCATTCTCTTGTGCAAGATGCTGGGAAGTCAGGGCTGGACCCACTAGGCCTCAGGATTTCAGCCAGTTTAGCCTCTTTGTACTCTTACTCTGTATATATGCAATACATTGATTTGTTAACTGTTATTATTGCACAAAATCACTGCTAAAACCAGTGCATATGTAATTTGACAGAGAAAGTGAGGAAGGAAGCTACTGGAGCAGCTCATCAATTTAATCTGTCTGCATTTTCTGGGAAGTTTTCCTCCAGTTTTCATGGTTATATTTAGCGGTCAGGGTACTGCAGTATCTGTCCCCACAAACTCTCTGAGGAAGTGGATAATAATTAGGAATTTATTAGAAAGAAAATGAGTCAGAGCTAAAGCATGGGAGGCAAATTTACTGAATTTGGTAAAGAATGAACTTTTGTAGCTTGGAAATACTGCAACACATGCTGGAGAGGAAAAATTTTTTTTTTCTGTCCATTCCTTTTCTGTTCAGTGTTTATGCATGGTGATTTTCAGAAAGTTTGCAGTGTGAATATCTGAGAGAAATGGACTATGTTACAGCAGTGTATTGCTGCTGGAACATGCTCCTTCAGGTTTCTGTGGCTGTCGCTCTAAGCAGTAGCAATTAACTGATCTCCTGAACCTGCTAGAAAACTGCCGCTTATGTGAATTACCATCTTATAGTGGGTGTGGATACAAAGCTATCGATGCATCAAGAAGGGAACGTGTCTGCCTCAGTCTATGGCATTAGAGCACCGTGCAATGGCAGCTGCTTGGTTTATCTGTACCTGTTGTTGCTGGACTCATTGCACAGACATGGCTCAAATGGTCTAGCTCTTCCACGCAGCAACTTCCCATGAGTGACTCTGAAAAACAGAAAATTGTTTGAAGTCAGTTGTGATGAAGAGTGGTTATGGAAAACCATGTCGGTTGATTTTTATTTTTTTAAAATACGGAAAGGATTTTCTATTCAACGACTCATGTACAAATACCTTCCCTGAATAATTAAAGCAGTTGGTCCATCTTACTAATAAAATGAGACCAGTCTCCCTTGTCTTCCTCCATTCCATTTCTTTCATAATCTTAATTCACATTCACTATTTTTTTTCTTAGGCTTATACTTTTAACTGCTATTAAACCAAACAGGCTTATCACAGCACTGAATCTGATCCTGCAGTTTGCATTTTTATGTGCTCCCTTGCTTTCATTTGAAGCCCCATAGCATGCAGAGTTTAACCACCATTACTTAGGACTAATTCATCCCATCTTCTTTTGAACTCCAAGGTAACCTTGCAAACTCAGATCTTTTCCAGCTGATGACTCTCTTTCAGCACTCACACAAGAAGCGAAGTTCTGCATCAACCTGTTTGCCCCTGTTGAATTTTGGGGGCAGATGGCACACACAGGGTTGTCGCGTTTCTTCTGTCTCCTGTTCATGGGTTAGGGCAGCTTCCAGCAGAAGCGTAGCCTTCCTTTCCCCTCCGGAATGGGGCTGATGGTGCAGATCACTGCTCTGCAGAGGAAAATACAGGTGTAAGTTACTGGTTGAGAAAGCTGTGATTTAAGCTGTGTCCCTGCAGTAGCTGTGGGGGCTTGCTGTGTCTGCCTGGCTGCCCCTATTTCCCAAAGCTCCC